GGGCGATCGGGGCCAGAGCCGGCCGCGGCCCGAGCTGCGCGAGGGCTCCATCCCGGGGGCGTTGGGCCTCCCTGCAGCCGCCTCGCTGCCTCCCGCTTCCCCGGCTGGCCGGCTTTGGTCTTTCTCTAGTAATCCAAGGGTTGGCGCGCTGGAAGCTCCAGCGGTGTTAGCGGCACTTTTTTTTTTTTTTTTCCAGAGTTACTTCCACTTCGCACGCTGAAGGGGGCGAGGAGGCTGCTCACTCTAGTTTCGGATATTTCGGCTGCTGCTCCTATGGAGACAGCTCCGGTCCAGGGCTAGGAAACGGCAGTTTGCTTCTTTGTGACGCAGAACCGCCACCTGACAACAGCACGCTTCTCCTGGCCCGGCTGCTGCTCCTATGGAGACAGCTCCGGTCCAGGGCTAGGAAACGGCAGTTTGCTTCTTTGTGACGCAGAACCGCCACCTGACAACAGCACGCTTCTCCTGGCCCGCGCCGCGCTGCTTCTGCTTAACGTGACAATTCTGGGATTCGTAATAAAGTACGTTGTACTGAAACAGATAGCAATATTTATTGCATTTGAGAAATGTGCAATAGGGCATGAATAGAAGACATAAAACGTATCGACTATTTTATTATGTGTTGAAAATCCATGAATACCCACCTACCAGATGTTTCAGGACGGTGTTAATCACAAATACCAGCTGCCTTGATGCTCTCTCCTTCAGTCCTTCTGTTGCTCCCGTTTCTCTGCCGTCTCTGGCTGTCGTCCCACTTCCTCCCCCAAATCCTTGACCGTGATGACTTTCAAGAGCCCAGATCCTTTGTGGCGCACCGCTGGCCCTTCTCTGCGCCTGGAAAAGTTATCCCTCTGCTAATTTCCTCCGAAACCTGGTTTACCAAAACAGTAGTTTCCGAAATTGTCTTGAGCCAAACGTTTGTCCTCGTCCCTTTTAATTTTGATCTTCACTTGTCTATCACTACCTCAAGAACTTCATCGCTTTCCAGCTTTGCCTCATTCTTTGCCATATAAAGGCGGTTTTTTCCCATGTGCTTGGTTGAATTTCAGTCTTTTGCAGCGCTGCCCTCGGTTCAGGGAGGGCCTGGTCGTTAGGCTCCCGTCCTTCCTCAGCCAGGCGCTGCCTTCGGCCTCCCTTCGCAGCCCGCGATGGCCCCGCGCTCGCGTCGCCCTTTCCCGTCTCCAAATTCATCCTCTTCTCCAAGCCCGGTACGCTCCCAGGCTCCTCTCTCGTCTTTTAGTGGGGCTTCCGGCTATTTGGGGAGATAAATAAAATCCACAAAAAGACGCTTATTCTGCAACGTCCCTTAAAGTCCTTGTTCTGCTTTATCTCATTCAACTCCCGCTCTAGGGGCGTTTCCCCGTTCTCTAGAAAGAACCTGTAGAAATTGCCTAGTATTTCTGCCCTCTTAAAATGTACCGTGCCGGCGCGTTTCCGTTTCGGTGAGTTATAATCACCAGCTAAATCAGAAAGCAGCAGCTCGCCAGTCGAAAAGGCGCCGTTACAACCGCGGCTGAGCTGAGCCCAGCCCGGGCCGGGGCGACGCGGGCGCCACGTTTTCCCTCGCTGCGGTTGCGAGGCCTGGGGCGAGCGCGGTTCCCACGCCGGGGGCAGCCGAGCAGGGCGAGAGCCGCGGTCGCTGGTCCCCGGGCAGGGTCGCGCGCCTCCGGGAAAAGCATCCGTTTTCTTTGGCGAAAACGCAGCGAGGAGGAGTTCCTTCGAAAAGAAACCCCGCAGCGAGCTGTCTGCCGGGAGCCAGCCCACCCGCAACGCCCGTAGCCTTGCTGGAGGTACTTGCATATAGAGGTTTTGTAAATATGAAAATATCAGTGATGGGGAATCGGAGTACAATGTAAAAACAAGTCTTATCAGGTTTACGTTTTGGCTTTTTTTTTCTTTCAAGCGAGAGAATTTTTGGAAAGACAGGTCAAGAATAATGAATTTAGAGACCTGATTCAGCAAGGTATTTTGCGAGAAGGAAGCCAGCACGGCGGCGTAGGGGC